GGATTTAAATATGGTTGTTTTAATGTATATTTCTTTGAATCAGTTTGGTCTTAATACTCTTGCATGAAAGTCAGAACCAAAAAAATTGTCAGTGATATGTGAATGAAATGACATTTCTGTTTTCTCTGATGAAGTGATAGATAATACAATCTAAAGTGACTTTATGTGCTTGACTTTTACTTCTCTCTCTCAGGGGATGGACTATTTGGGTTCTCGGCAATATGTTCACCGTGACTTGGCAGCAAGAAATGTCCTTGTTGAGAGTGAACACCAAGTGAAAATTGGAGACTTCGGTTTAACCAAAGCAATTGAAACCGATAAGGAGTATTACACCGTCAAGGATGACCGGGACAGCCCTGTGTTTTGGTAACTGAATCAAACCGCCAGGTTTTATCAATGCGTCATAGAGTTTACAGTTTTGGTAGGCCCTTTCTGGCTATATTAATGTCTCTCATTCCTCTGGCCTGACTCAAGATTAGAGAAGGTTTAGAACATTTGGAATTGATTGATATTTATCTTCAAGAAACACACCTTTCCAGCTGTTTCATTGAAAGCAGCCTATATAAATGCCTGCGCTTCATCTAACACCGTCTTCCAAGGAATGAAAGAAATCTAACCACCAGCTCAACATTCCCAGCTTCCCAGGAGAGGGCATTCATCTGATGCAGTTCTTAAAACTGTGAGCAGGTGAAGGGGATCTAGTTCCTTTCTTAAACACATCCATGCAGAGGGAAGCTGTAGGACGGAGTGGGCATTGCAGATTCAGGGAACTCCTGGACAGAGCAGAGCAAAACCTGTGGGAGACCTGGCTGTCTCTCATGAATCACCAGAGGCCCCCAGGTTAGAAGGCCACACACTGGCTACAACCATGTCTCAGCCGGGAACACTGTCCAGGGGAGAGATTGCTTACATCTCTACTACACCCTGCCACATAACCAGTCAGCACTCCCCAGGTGCATCCCACATGGACACAAACATAGACCTTTCCCACTTATGGAGCCTAAACGTCTTCATTCATTCATTTAAGGAAATGCATCAAGGTCCTGCTTTGTGCCAGTACGGGAGATATGGTGAACAAGTAGGCCGAGTTTAGAGTTTTAACAGGCTAGGCAGCCACTGGCATGGAGCAGGAAACATACAGAAGGGGTCGGGCTTGGTATTCTGGAAGTCATGAGTATTCAGATGAAACCTGAAAGATTCATGCGGGTTTAGACAGATGGTTGCAAGACAGCATGCATGACTAGGAAGAATGAGACAAGAGCAGTTGATTTCCCAGGAACTGAAAGCGAGGCTGGATGGTGGAATAGGTTTGCAGGAGGAAGCTTGAGTCATGAAGCTGGGACTTCATCTCAAGAGCAGTGGGATGCTGCTGGAGGGTTTAAGGACAGAGACTTTGTTTTAAAAAGACCACCATTGAATGAAGGGAACAAGATTGGAGCCAGGGAGTCTGATTTGGCTGCTTCAACAGCTCAGGCCAGAGCCAGTGACAGCATGAACTAGGACAGTGTCTGGGATAGTGACAGTAGGATTTGAGAGAAGTGAGTAGGTTCAAGGAGTATTTAAGGAGATTGGGTGCAGTGGAATGCCTTCATTTTTGGGTTGGGCAAGTGGGTATCATTCAGCAAAATAGGTAATGCTGGAAGAGGATTGGGCAGTGACGCCACATTGGGCAGTGAGGCCACTGATATCTCATTTTGAGCCTGCAGGCAGTCAGACCTGGGGCTCATCATTACATGGCCACCTCCTCCCGTACCGAGAGCATGTTCTCAGTGAAATGAAGAGCACAGACTTGTGTTATTTTAGGGCAGATGCGTGCTACCGAGAGCCTGTAAAGGATGCTGTACTATAGGTCAGATGTGCACCATAGCAGCTTATACGTGATACGTGTAAAACATCATCCACACTCAGATGCTCTATTAAATTATAAGAAAAACCAAAGAGGTGATTTTTCAGTTATCCTGTAATGTCAGTTGGAATGTGCCTCCCAGGAAATGAAGTTTTGTGTTCTGCTTCCTTTCAAGGTATGCTCCAGAATGTTTAATGCAATCTAAATTTTATATCGCCTCTGACGTCTGGTCTTTTGGAGTCACTCTGCATGAGCTGCTGACTTACTGTGACTCAGATTCTAGTCCCATGGCTGTAAGTCCTCCTTTTCTCTTCATTTGAATCCAGTACCCATTTAAAATGTGTCCATCCCTCTGCTTGGTTAACTTTTGTTTTTAAATGAAATCCAATCAATGTATTATAATGGAAAGTGTCACTTTCCCACTTAACTTGGTTTGCTACTTGACAGTTATTTGTGGATCTCTCAAGTCTTGCTTTCACAGTGAGCCCAGAGTTCCATAGGATGGCCTTGACTCTCAAGGATCTTATCTGTGTAGAGATGAACGGCAGTTTTATGGGAAAATGAGCAAGTTAGGTGGGGTAGCATTGGATAGGGACCAGCCTTGTCTGCGCCTCCTTCATTCCTAAATCAGATCATTTTCTTGAGACAGACTCCTTGACTAGCACAAGGAGTGGCTGGTAGAGTCTAAGACATTGGTTAGAGACAGATCATTGAAAGCTAATAAGGATTTTGGATTTTTATTTAAAGTTACTAAGGGCAAAAGCCTTTTTATTGCTACTTAAATTTCCAGTTGATTGTAGAAATTTCACCTTAATCTGTTTGGCATTTATGTAAATACATGCAAAGTTAAATGTTTTGTTTGGTTTTATTTTATATAGTTGTTCCTGAAAATGATAGGCCCAACCCATGGCCAGATGACAGTCACAAGACTTGTGAATACATTAAAAGAAGGAAAACGCCTGCCGTGCCCGCCTAACTGTCCAGATGAGGTATCTATGGGCCACGTCACAGTAGTAACACTCCATTTCTATTGTGTTTTCGCAGCTTGAGTTATCCAGAAATGGGTAGAGGGGAGAGCGAGGAAATGATGCAGTGAAGTCCTATAAAATAGTTTTCTGAAGCTGAATTTCACATAAGATAACTGAGAAAGCGCCTTTGGGGCTAGATGATAGCCACCAGTTAGGTTCAGAGCAAGGATTCCCTCCAAAAGCCAGCCCCTCTTTATCCACTTGCTTGCCCCAGAGGGACAGGTTTTGGTGTAGCCTTAGTGTGACAAATATATATAATTGCATTTTTTGTGTGTAAGTTAGTTTATCCCACTTATTAGTAGCATTTATAGTATGTATTCAGTTTTCTAAGTGAACTGAGCCCTTTAATACTAAAAACTCTTGAGACTGCGTAAGACACACTGAACAGTATGAGTCAGAGAGTGAGGCAGCCAGTCTGGAAAGTTTAAGTCTGAACTGAGATTCAGCTTCACTCTCTAACCGGTTTACAGGAATGACCTGGATTTTACTGCAGTCAGTCAACCCTTGAGCTTCTCAAATGTTAAAATACTATTTATGAACTAGAGTTGTATCCCATTTTCTGTGTTTTAAACTGTTCAAACACTCGTTTTTCTGGTCTTTAAGGAGAAGTCATTTACATTTCCAAAATTACTTTCTTACCCTTGATGTTTCTATATATTTTTTAAAGTTCCCAAATCTAACATTTTTACTGTTATTTCTTTCTTTTTACAGGTTTATCAACTTATGAGGAAATGCTGGGAATTCCAACCATCCAATCGGACAAGCTTTCAGAACCTTATTGAAGGATTTGAAGCACTTTTAAAATAAGCATGAATAACATTTAAATTCCACAGATTATCAAGTCCTCCTCCCACAACAAATGCCCAAGCCATTTTTTAAAAATTTGTAATGAAAACAGTTTGTGTTCTGTCCAAAAAGTCATTGAACTCATACTTGAGTACATATACATGTATAAGGCATGCTGTAGTGCTTAATATGAGTAAGGAGTTCCTCTTTAAATTTGGTACCGGTAACTTAGTGACACATAACGACAACCAAAATATTTGAAAGCACTTAAGCACTCCTCCTTGTGGAAAGAATATGCCACCATTTCCTCTGGCTAGATCACCGTCACAACTGCATACCAAAAGGGGATTTTTGAAAACAAGAGGAGTTGACCAAAATAATGTCTGAAGATGATTGCTTTTCCCTGCTGCCAGCTGATCTGAAATGTTTTGCTGGCACATTAATCATAAAGATTGATGGACCTAGCCCTCAGATTTCAATATCTATACAGTACTAGACCATGCATTCTTAAAATATTAGATACCAGGTAGTATATATTGTTTCTGTACAAAAATGATTGTATTCTCTCACCAGTAGGACTTAAAACTTTGAGTTGTTTCTCCAGTGGCTTAGCTCTTGTTCCCTTGGGTGACCACTAGCACCCATTTTTGAGAAAACTGGTTCTACATGGGGGGATAGCTGTGGAATAGATGATTAGCTGCATGTTAATTCTCGAGAACTAAGCCTGTGCCAGTGCTTTCCTAAGCAGTATACCTTTAATCAGAACTCATTCCCAGAGCCTGGATGCTATTACACATGCTTTTAAGAAATGTCAATGTATGTCCTTTAATAACTCTACCACTTTGGAGCAAGCTATTCCAGCATTGGTTTTGAATGCTGTATGCAACCAGTCAGAATACCACGTACGCTGCACTGTTCTTAGAGTGTTTCCATACTTACCACCGATCTACAAGGGTTGATCCCTGTTTTTACCATCACCCTATGGTACAACACTTGAAAGGAAAGACCCCGCTAGAGGCACTAATGAACTTCAGGATCCACTAGACAGTTTTCAGTTTGCTTGGAGGTAGCTGGGTAATCAAAAACGTTTAGTCACTGATTCAATGTGAACTATTAAGGCCTTTATGACCAAGAGTCTGAAAAATCTTATGCTGTTTAGTATTTGTTTGATATTGTTACTTTTCACCTGTTGAGCCCAAATTCAGGATTGAGTCAATGGTGGCAATAAAGTTGCCATTTAAATTTGTTCATAGCCTACAACACCAAGGTCTCTGTGTCAAACCTGTGGCCACTCTATATGCACTTTGTTTACTCTTTATACAAATAAATATACTAAAGACTTTACATGCATATGCCTTTTAATATTAAGATTTCATTTTCAAAGCATTTCAAACAATTTGCTAACATAGAAAAATAACAGTATAGTTTTGGGGGGAGGAGGGGGTGGGTTATGGTCCTTATTACTAACACCACTTGATTTGCACTTCATTATTGTGCCCAGTGATAATGGGACGCAGGCCAGTATGGATGGCATGTCCACTGTGCCATAGTCCAGACACCTTTGTTTTACTTCCTTCAACCTCTTCCTGCTTTCACTTTGCAGCTCTGATGATGCAAAATTCACCATCTTTCCTTCCTTCTGTTTGCACCATAGTGGAGGTGTGACTAAGCACTGAAGAGGCTGAATGCAACAGGAAAATAGGAAGGAGAAGTGCAGGGTGTGAAAAACCCATTAGTCATCTGCTATATAACTGGATGATGCCTAATTTTTATCAGTTATTTATAGGTAGTATACTTAGAAATTACCTTAAACTTTGTAGCTGTCATTTTCCAACAGAAGCTACTATATGCAATAAATTAGACCAAATGAAATTCTTTACAAAGCATACAACATATGTACCAATTCTAGACTTCATAATTAAAACAGGATATCCACATCATAGTTAAAAATAACAAGTCCCCAAAGTGACAAGATATTTAATGATCTGATTTCAAAAAGCGCGGGATAGAGATCCCAAATTCCCTATCAATTAATTACAGTCTTACAACAATAAACAAACTTAGAAATTTCTAGATGGCAAAAGGTTTCTCATGCATTTAATACCAAGGTCTTCAAGAAATGGTGATGTCAAAAGTCATATTCCGTAAAGATAAAACTTCTTTCACAAGTAAATTGTGTTAAATAACTGATTTTTCATCCTAATACACTATCAAAGAGTGAGAGAGAGAGCAGAGAGTGAGGTATAGCTTATTAGCTCAGAGTGGTTATAAATACTGTGACTCCTTAAGACTCCATCAGCAAGTGCAGTATTGACTGCTTTACTATATTGTGGAAATAGGGCATTTAGTGATCAAAATAGGCCCGTCATTAGATCATTACTAGTATATGGTATGAAATGAGCACAGAAACCCATGGTCCTTTCCACCTACAAGTCTGTCTCAAAGGCTAAAGGTCTGTCTTTAGGTGAATTAAAAGGAATAGTTGCTATTAGAATTAGTGCTATTAGATCAGGGATCAGCAAACACTGTGTATAAATGGCCAGATAGTCAAAATTTTAGGCCATATGGTCTTTGCAGGCCATACAGTCTGTTGAAGCTAATCAGTTCTGCCATTGTAGCATAGGAGTGCCACAGACAACATGTAAATGAATGAGCATGGCAACGTCCCAATAAAATTTTATATATGGATACTGAAATCTCAAATTCATATAAATTTCATGTCATAAATTTTCTTTTTTCTCCAACCACTTAAAAATGTAAACATTAGTCTTAGCTTGCAGGCAGCACAAAAGCGGGTGGTAGACCAAATGTGGCCCGAGGCTGTAGTGTGCCAACCCCTTTATTGGATCGCCAAAGCTACTTTTCTTAAAATACCTTCTATTTTTCACAGAAGGTATAAATGGTAAACAACATCTTAAAGCATCGGTAGTACTGGATACCTTTGACATCACTGTCACTCTCTTACCGGGTTTAATTTTGCGTGGCTGGTGTGGGTGTAATTGAGTACAATTAAAGATGTAAAGATGCATGTAGAGCATCTTTATAATATTACCATCAGCACATTTGGTACTTGCACCCTTGTAGTTCTAGGAAAAGTCTTAAAAATGTAAAAATGCAATTACTTCTAGGGAAAGTAAATTGAAATGCACATTGGCTTGTAAGAAACTCATTCTTCTAAGGCTCGGGAAACAACACTGCTTCCCATTTATTGCTTCAAACTTTTATAGATGGTGTCAGAATTATTCCCAGTCCTCAAACAAGGAATAGTGGAACATTGTTAGTTTCTCCAATGGATTGTAAGTTAGCACACTGATTAAGATGCATCTGACTCTAGTGGAAAATGTCCTCAATTGATGTCTTTTCTTATTGCTATTTTTTATTTGGCATTTCTGCCTGCTGCACAACACAGTTCCTTCTGGGAAATTATAAACCCGTATTTAAAGGATATGGCTAGTTTGAATGAAGTTAAGGCAGCGATGAACAGCAGAGATACTGCAGAGAACCTTAGGGGGTTATTAGGAGAGAGCTTAACTCAGTACACTCGCTTCTTTTTTAAGTAAGTTTCCATGTAATATGCTCCTGTGCCCTGAGAATGCTGGTCAACACATTCCACTGAACCACCTTCTGGGGCAGAGATGAGATATGATGAGCCTCGCTTTTCATTTCTTAAAGATGACACCTATGAGAAAATAAAATTGCAGATAGTTTTAAAATCTGAAGTTGGCTTATTCATGAAATATAAGAAAAGCATTCTACTTTGAGTTGGTAAATACAGAATAACAGGATAAATACCCAAACTATCAAAAAATACATAACCCCTTAATTGCTGTATCAATATCACCTTTGGAACTTCTGCAGGACACAAACCAGTCTCAGCACCTTCACTCCCAACCCCAACATTCTGGGAAAAGAAAAATGAGAGCACTGCGTGCAGTTGCTTCTGCTGATCACAGCTAGTTAAACCCACGGAATCAGAATATCAACACCGAGTGTCAATCAAGCTGCATATTGAATTAGATGTTAAGTGTGCCTGGTGACAAGAGGAGTGGTGAGAGAATAAATCAGTAGGTGTAGAAACTGACAAATGACATCAAGGAAAACAACATGATGCATTCTAGAGAGCAATGGGAAACTCAAGAGCTTTGGTCTCCACAATAATCGCCTGGTGAGCATATTAAAATGCAGATTTTCAGGCACCATCCCAGAGATTCTAACCTGAAAGTGGGCCAGATGTCCTCACAAGCGGTCACAGTGATAGCACAGTAAATTAGATGGTGTAGCACTGCTCAGCTTAATGCCTCTTAGTTTTAGCTTTTACAAAAATAAGTGCAACAAGCTTATCAAAGCAGAATTATGTGACTTAATATGCAAGAACTTAGAAATGATTGATGAGTAAAGCTTCCAGCAGCACACAGAAGCCTTCTCACGTTGCAATTAAAACTGCAGTTGTTTTTGAACCAACAACAGTCACAATTTTTAAAAGTGCAGCCAGCCTCAGAGGGAACAGATGATACGTCTCTCTCAACTCCTTGCTAAAGTAGTTCTCAATGGTCCATGTTAGGAAGAGGGATGACCAGACTGCATCCTCTGGTACTTCATTTCAATGTGGCTTACTGTGGGGACAGGCCAATACAAAGCATCTTCACACAAGCCAGTGTAAAGGAGTGAAGCTGATGGGCAAAGAATCTGGCTTGAATTTCTGCCTCGACATTTTTTTTCCTAGTAGTAAAGTATATCTGGGGTTTGTGTTGGAATATGTTGGAAGGGAAGCAGGTGAGAGGATAGATGAAAGGAGACCGGCCGCCGTAAGTTGATAGTTGTCGAAGCTGAGTTGATGGTGACAAGGGTGCAGCCCTAGAGAAGGGCTGCTGCACCAAACAGCTTGCTCACCTCTTAGGCAGAGCCTCTGCCCCAAAAACCCTTCCTCCCAGTGTCCAGCCTCTTCATTCTCTCCAGCTGCCTTCTTCATTAGGGCCCCTTCGCTGGTAGGTGATCTTTCTGAACGTTGAACCCCAGCCACTAACACCGTCAGACCTTACTTCAGGTATAAAGAATTCTTTTTAGCAGCTTTCCTCCTCTTATAAGTCATCAGTCCATTCTATAAATAGATTTTCCAAAGACTAGGGGAGGGAAGCAGACAGTTCACTCTGGGATCTGGGATGCTCCTGCTCTTCTCACCCACCTTCCCCAATTCTTCTCCCCATGTAGTTATCTATTCTTTCGTGTCTTGGCATGTAGCAAAGCAGCAGCCTGGGTTTCTGTCTTTCTATACCATCTTCACTGTCAGAAGCCAGATAGGAAATTTATTTCATTCTTTTATTCAAAGGGCTTCCCAATGGTGCTACACCATTCACAGAACCAACTGAGACCTATGAGATCAGCAAAAAACTTCACTGAGCGGCACAGGAAAATATTAGAACAGGAAATGAAAGTGGGTGTCACTCATCTTACAATGAAGACAAAGCCTGCAAACATTACGTTGAGTAAAATAAGACATTCAAAAAGAGACAGACATGGTATGATTACACCAATGTGAGATATAAAAGTTAGTCCCGGTTATAAAAACAGAAAGTCAAATGATGTTCTCTTCAGGAGCTGAGGGAGAGAGCGGGAAAAGTACAGTTTACTATCAGATTTTTTGTAAAATGAAAATCTAGAGATCTGTTGCAAAATAATGTAAATATACTGAACATTACTAAACTGTACACTTAAATATTTAATAGTAATTTTATATTTTTATCACAATTAAAAATTTAAACCTTAAAAAAAAATAAAATGGGTTTCACTATAGCCCTTGTGATACTGGGAGAAAGGTAATCCTTCTGATATGCCCTATCAAAGATCTAACTTCTAGTCTAAGGACTGGTGAATGGGGAATGATGATTTAAAATTTTGAAACAAAGCTCAGTGCTCTGGGAGAAATAAATTCCTACATAAGAACCACCACCACCACCACCACCACCACAAAACACAAAAGAGGGAAAGAATATAAAGTTAGCAAATATTTTTCCTTCTATTTTGTATTTGCAGGATATAGACATCCATTCCTTTATAAGTGATCTATTGTGGGCACTGAGTTTGTGTGCTATGAGGTTTACCTGGATGAATGAAACTTGGACTATGCCCTCCCATAGCTCATATCCTAGGAGGGGAAGGAAGAGGAATGCAAAACATAATTCTAAAAGGGGACTTCCACTTTGACAAAAGAGAAATAGAAGTGAAGTGCTAAAGCTTTTTACAGACAAGGAAAATGGGGGAGGGGGCTTGAAAGGTACAGGCACTGATTTCATGGATGAGATGGCATCTGAGTTAGGATTTGGAAGTGAGGTCATATATGGACATGAGGAGACAGGCAGTGACCCTTCCAGGAGAAAGGCAGGGCCTGTGCAAAGGCAGATGGCAAAAAAGCCAGGCCTGTGATGGTAGCAGCTGGCAGGCAGAAGAGGGCAGTGGCAGATGAGGTTGAAAAATGAAGCTGGCCTCAGTCATAGAGGGCTGGAATGCCAGGCTAAGGACTATAAACAGGACCATACCCTTGATCTTGGAATATGGCAAGATTAATAAGCAGCTCCGTAAAAAGTATGGCAAGGAGACAGGCATTATTAGGTTTCTCCAGGAGGCTATTGAACTTCTCCCTTCACATGCATGTGAGCAAACACACACAGATTATATGTGATTTAAGACTTGATTTAAAATTTAGCATGAAACTTACAGATGAGACAGAACAAAGTGGTATACTTAGAAAATCTGAAAACGATTTTGATAAGCATTTATGCTTTGAATACTAAACAAAAGGAAGACCTTGAGAGAAACTGTAATATTCTAGTTTTACAAGTCTAATATTCAGGTGGAAATCAAATACACACAATAGTCATTTTAGGGGACTTCATCTTTAGCAGGGTCTTTTTTAGGGTTGGCTGAAACCACTCTATGAATAGTTTGCACCCAGTGGTTCCATTCTATACTTTGGAAGTACAATCCAAGTCTAATACTTCCTTATCAGAATGGGCATAACTTCAGTGGAGGCCCCTCACTCTCGTGCCCCTGGGCAATCCTACTATATCCCCACCCTACCCTGCCCACTTATCTCCCCTCCCCTAAGTGACTACTTCAAGCCTTCTCTTTTCTCGAAGCCCCAGCAATACACCCTCATCTTCACTCTCAGCTGATGCTTTGCTTTCTATTTCACCAAGGAAACAAAATCGAAAGAGAAATCTTAAGATGCACAGTGACTGACTCCTGGTCTCTTTACTTACCCTCACTTCCTTGGTGATCTCATCCAATTTCATGCAATTCACAATTATAGCAATTTACAGGAATGTGATGGTTCTCAAATATATACCTCTGCCCATAACTCTCCCCTCACCTCCAGACTTGTATAATGAACACCAATACGGGAACATCTTCACTTAGGGATCTAACATCTAAAACGTACCCATAAAACTTGCTCCACCCACACAGTCTTGCCCATCTCAATCAGTAACAAATTCATTTTTCTAGGCCAAAACTCTTGAGGCCTTGGTTCCTCTCTTACCCTCGTATACCCCATTGACTCCACCTTCCAAAAAATGTCTCCAGCCCAGCCACATATCACTGCCTCTGCTGCTTCCAGGCTTGTCCAAGTCAGTGTTTTTACTTGAATTGTACCACAGCAGCTTCCTAACTGACCCTGCTATGTTCTACATTCATTATTTAACACAGCAGCTAGACATGTTAAACTATAAATACAGTCAATTATCCCTATACTCAAAACATTCCAGTGGCTTTCTATCTTAGAGTAAAAGCCAAAGTCCTTACAAGGGCCTAAAAGGTCACAAACTGTCTGTGTGCTCTGCCTCCCCCACCCCACTGTGACTTCATCTCCTATTCTCCACTTTGCTCACTCCTCTTCTGCCCTAAAGGTTGCTTGCTGTTCCTTTAACAGACCAAGCATGTTTCTGCCTCAGAACCCCTGCACTTGCTGTTCCCTGTCCCTGGAACGCACTTTTACATAGATACTCATGTGGCACACTCCCTAAAGCTCTGATCTTTGCCCAAGAATCAGTTTTACAATGAACCCTTCCTTGACCACGTATTTAAACTCCAAGTCTTCCCAGACACTCTTTAGCCTTCACCTTATTTTCTCTACAGCGATCACTATTCCTTTTACTAATTTTTTTCCCTAAATGTAAGTTCCATTCTTATAAGAATTTTGATGTTTTGTTCATTGCCATACCCCTAGTGCCTAGAACAGTCCTGTCATATAGTAGACATTCAGTATATACTGGTTGAATGAGTAAATGAATACCTTTCAAAAAATATTTTCTAAGCATGCATTCCCAATTCCTTCAGTGAATAGTCATAGGCTATGGTTTCTGACACTCTGGCATGGCAAAACTGGACACCATAATCTACTAGAGCCTACCAAAGCAAAGATTAATGTGCTTCTCACTTTGGGCAGCTGCCCTCTTGTTAGAATTTCAAATTAGTTGGCTCTTTTAACTGTTGCTCACCAATCTAATCTTTTGCACACATCTACTATGAAACCCATTCTCTATGCAGTTGCTATTTTATCTTAGATTTTAAAAAAATTTTCTTTTATTAAAGCAAATCTTTTTATTTTCATATAAATGTAGACTTTCTTTTATCCCATTCATTTCCAAGTGAATGCAGAAACAGAATGTCACCATATCATTTGCTGACTGCCAGTTTACTACTTACAATGTATCTTAAGCTCAATTTTTAAGCTCATGTCAATAATTGAACTGGTGGCTAGTTTTCATAGCTCTCATAAGAATTGGGGAAAGGGGAATCTTGACTATCCCTTAGAAGATTCCTTTGGGATATGTTAATGTCAACAGTGAATTCCATTAGGCTCATCTGCTATCAGTCCAATTAAAGGTATTTATTATTGTTGTTCTTCTGAAAAGAATATAAGCATTTAGCAGGTAGTCCTTTAAATACAAAATGAAATTTGTTTTCAGAAAATTCTGCCTCTAGGACTCCTCAGTCTCACCCTTACCTTCAGCTCCACTTCACCTTTTCTAAGTCTTGTCTCTTCAGTGGAGTCAGGTATATGGAGAACCAAAATTGGACTGCACTAGTTCTCCTGAGGTCTGAATCAAGCCCCTAATGTCCCTTTCTTATAGCTTCAAGTCCAGCTTTTAGATTTCAGACCTACAGAAACATGAATTAATTTTATTATCATTTCTGCATTAAACATTTTTAAAATTTTATTTAAAAATACAACTTTCTCCCATTGTTAAAAATGTTTCAAAATCAATATGCTTCATTCTGTGACATTAATGATATAACTAATAAAAAATGTCTCTGTCTCATATATACATACATAAATGTTTCCAATGTTCATATTCATGTTTGCCTCTCAGCTACTTTTCTTCATATGAATAATGGTTAAGTCCTAACATTGGATTTAACGATTCATCCCCAAAAAGGTATTGCACAGCACTAATTTTTTTTTTTTTTTTGGAGACAGGGTCTTGCTCTGCTGCCCAGGCTGGAGTGCAATGGCGGGATCTCAGCTCACTGCAGCCTCTGCCTCCTGGGCTCAAGCGATTCTCCTGCCTCAGCCTCCTGAGTAGCTGGGATTACAAGCGTGCACCACCACACCTGGCTAATTTTTTGTATTTTCTGTAGAGAGAGGGTTTCCCCATGTTGGCCAGGTTGGTCTTGAACTCCTGACCTTAGGTGATCCACCCACCTCAGCCTCCCAAAGTGCCGGAATTATAAGCATGAGCCACCGCGCCCAGCCAAAATACATTTCAATAGCTTGCTTTCCTTAATTCCAGTTTTTAACCAAAATCACTTTTTAAAAGTACTTTCCAACTTATTGTCTAGGGTTAATATATAGATAACCTGTGCTCCCATAATTGCTGTTTAATGTGGGCTTATGTTTTAAAACATATTTTGTATGATAGGTGTTTGTCACAAGATTCGGATCTATCACGGTCCATACAAAAATCCACACAGCATTCATTACATAATATAATGTACTTTTTGGCAAGTTGGCCTGCATTGTTTGACCACTGGGTGGCAGCATTCGGCTCTGTATGAAAGGACCAAGCATTTTCCAGGTCTTTTGTTCATTTTTCTTTCCTCTTCCCTCATCACATCATCTCATCATATATTCTGTGGTTGATTCCCTGGAACAAGGCAGTCAGCCTCCTGGCAGGGGAGATCCCTGGAATCAGGGCAACACAAGAACACACTGTGCAAGCAGATAACACTGCTGTGCTGCATGCTGGACAACTGCCACGTATGGCAACTGTCAAATGAAAAATCAAAATCAGGCCAGGTGCAGTGGCACAGGCCTGTAATCCTAGCACTTTGGGAGACCAAGGCAGGCAGATCACTTGAGGTCAGGAGTTCAAGACCAGCCTGGTCAACGTGGTGAAACCCCATCTCTACTAAAAATACAAAAATTAGCTGGGCATGGTGGTGGGCACCTGTAATCCCAGCTACTCAGGAGGCTGAGGCAGGAGAATCACTTGAACCCAGGAGGTGGAGGTTGCAGTGAGCTGAGATTGTGCCATTGTACTCCAGCCTGGGCGACAGAGCAAGACTCTGTCTCAAAAAGAAAAAAAAAAAAAATTCACAACGTAAGCAGTCGTATTAAACAGCTGAAAAAACTCTTACATTTTTTTTACATTATTGAGACTAACGACTACATCAAACTGGAAAGACGCTTAAGATATATTTTGACCTATTTTACCTATTTTAATTAAAGGGGAAGGGTGAAATGTTTTGTCTTTGATAAATTATAATTAGATGTTAGATTTAGGTGTTTAATAGACATTTAATAAAGTGGCTTAAAAGCTTCTCTTTTAAGGTAGGTTTCTCCCAACCATTTGACATAGATGGACCTCAGAATCTGAAATTTCAAACTCAATTTGTACATTCATATTGACAGGTTTACATAGCTGACTATAATGCTATTATCACTGCTACAATGTATACTACAAATTTTTAAATAATTTATTTCTGATTTAAGTTTTCTCAATCACAGTTCAAATACTGAAGACATACAGTCTTTGAGAAAATTAGTAACTACAGCTCAATGGCAATTCTATACAACTAACTAGAGAAATGGAAGGGGTAGTGCATTTAAAACTTATTTCTAATTAGACCTAGATCTTGAAAAATGGATCTGATCTGTTTGCTTATAACTAGCTACTTTTAGGATCTCTAAAACACTAAATGAAAATGCTATTCTCTGTTTAGTACAGTTGAAGCTTATTTTTTAAAGAGTCCAAAATTTGTTGATTCACAAGGTTCACCAACTTGTGAACAACTATCACCACAATTGAATTCTAGAGTATTTTTATCACTCTCCCCTCCCCCAAAAAATCCTGTTAATCACACTCCCTAACTCCTCCTTCCTCCAGCCCCCAGTAACCACTATCTACTTACATTCTCTATGGATTTGCCTATTCTGGATATTTCATATAAATGGAATATCATATGTGTACTTTTTGTCTGGCATATTTCACTTAGCGTAATGTTCACAAGGTTCGCCAATGTTGTAGCATGGATCAGTACTCCATTCCTTTCTATGGATGAGTAATGTTCCATCACGTGGATATTACCACATTCTGTTTATTCATTCATCACTAGACTGACATTTGGGTTGTTTTCCTTTTTGGCTGTTATGAATGCTGCTGCTGTGCCAATGCATGTACACATTTGTGTATAGACACACATTTTCAATCCTCTTGGATATACCTAGGAGTCAAATCCTGGGGCCATCTGGTAATTCTTTAACATTTGACAAACTGCCACACTCTTCCAAAGCAGCTGCACCATTTTATATCCCACCAACCCCTAGCACTGAATGAGGATTCCCATTTCTCCGCATCCTTGCCTACATTGTTATAGTTCATTTTTCTTCATTCTCTTTTCCTTCAGTTTCTCAGACAGGATCATTTCAATTGACCTACATTCCAAGTTTGTCGAGTCTTCTTCCTGCTCCAATCTGCTGCTGTGCTATAGTAAATTTTTCATTTGTTACCATACTTTTCAAATATAGAATTTCTATTTGATTTTTAAAAATAATTTCTCTCTTCATTGATATTCTCTATGTGATGAGGTGTTGTTCTCATACTTCCGCTTTTTTGTTTGTTTGTTTTTGAGAAGGAGTCTTACTCTGTCGCCCAGGCTGGAGTGCAGTGGCACAATCTCGGCTCACTGCAAGCTCTGCCTCCCAGGTTCACGCCATTCTCCTGCCTCAGCCTCCCAAGTAGCTGGGACTACAGGCGCCGGCCACCACGCCCGGCTAATTTTTTGTATTTTTAGTAGAGATGGGGTCTCACCATATTAGCCAGGATGGTCTCGATCTCCTGACCTCGATCTGCGCGCCTCGGCCTCCCAAAGTGCTGGGATTACAGGCGTGAGCCACCGCACCTGGCCTCTCATACTTTTTAAAAGTTCCTGAAACGTGGCTCTCTTTAATTCTTTGAAAATATTTTAAATCTTTGTTTAGTAAGTCCAGTGTTTGCACTTCCTTACGGACAGTTTCTATTAATTACTTTTCCCTTTGTGTATGGGTCATACTTTGTCATAAAATCTTTGTGTGTTCCTGTGTCCAGGATGGTATTGCCTAGGTTGTCTTCCAGGGTTTTTATAATTTTGTGTTTTACATTTAAGTCTTTAATCCATCTTGAGCTGATTTTTGTCTATGGTGTAAGGAAGAGGTCTGGCTTTAATCTTCTCCATATGGCTAGCCAGTTATCCCCGCACCTTTTATTGAATAGGGAGTCTTTACCCCATTGCTTTTGTCAACTTTGTCGAAGACCAGATGGTTGCAGATGTCCAGCCTTATTTCTGGGCTCTCTATTCTTTTCCATTGGTCTATGTGCCTGTTCCAACAGAGTTTCAACAAGGCATAAATATATACTTCTACTGCTTCTATTCAACATTTTACTGGAGGTTTTAGTGCAATATCGTTCGTTGGACATAGGAACGGGCAAAGATTTCATGACAAGACACCAGAAGCAATTGCAGTAAGAGCAAAAATTGACAAGTGGGATCTAATTAAATTTAAGAGCCTCTGCAAGCAAAAGAAACTATCAACAGAGTAAACAGAGAACCTATAGAATAGGAGAAAATTTTTCCAAACTATACATCTGACAAAGGGCTAATATCCTGCATTTATAAGGAACTTAAATTTACAAGAAAAAAGCAAACAACCCCATTAAAAAGTAGGCAAAGGACATAAACAGACACTTCTCAAAAGAAGACATATATGCGGCCAACAAGTATATGAAAAAAAGTTCAATATCACTGATCATTAGAGAAATGCAAATCAAAACCACAATGAGATACCATCTCATACTAGTCAGAATTGGCCATTACTAAAATGTCAAAAAATAGCAGATGCTGGTGAGGTTGTGGAGAAAAGGGAACACTAATACACTGTTGGTGGGAATGTAAATTAGTTTAACCATTGTGGCAAGTAGTGTAGCAAAATCTCAAAGAGCTAAAAACAGAATTACCATTGGACCTAGCAATCCCATTACTGCGTATATACCCAGAGTAATATAAATTATTCTATCATAAATACACATGCACACAAATGTTCACTGCAGCACTATCCACAATAGCAAAGACAAAGAATCAACCTAAATGCCCATCAGTGACAGGCTGGATATTTGGTACATATACACTATGGAAAACTATGCAGCCATAAAAAAGAACGAGATCATGTCTTTTGTGGGAACATGGATAGAGTTGGAAGCTTTTATCCTTAGCAAACTAATGCAGGAACAGAAAACCAAATACCACACGTTCTCACTCGTAAGTGGGAGCTAAATGATAAGAACTTATGAACACAAAGAAGGAAACAACAGACTGCTGTCTACATAACGGTGGAGGGTGGGAGGAGGGAGAGCAGTAGAAAAGATAACTATTGGATACTGGGCTTAATACCTGGGTGATGAAATAATATGCACAAAAAACCCCTGTGACACGTGTTTAGCTATGTAATAAACCTTCACGTGTACCCCCAAACCTAAACTTAAAAATTTTTAAATATTAGAAAAGAAAATTTGTTATAATGCAGGCTGTTTTCATTTGATAGAATTATAACTACTGTTCAATTTAGGTTTACCACTCGGATATTTGTTTTTATTAGACTTAGTTGTTTTTGTCTTTCATGGCATATTTTGGCTTAATCAAATGTTTTTATAATTTCATTGTAATTAAACTGTTCATGTTTTAGCTATATCTCTTTGTATAATTTTTTAATGGTTGCTGTATGGATTACAATATGCGTTCCACAACTTATCACAGCCTACTTAGAGTTACTTTTGATGTACTTCATGTAAAACATAACCCCAAAACCATAATTTCATTTACCTTATTGTGCTTTACACTATTGCTATCAAATATACTATATCTATATACATTATAAACCCTATATGTTAAAATTTTTGCTTTTAAATAAATTAAGAGAAAATATATAATCTTTTTTAGTCACCTGCATGTTTACTGTTGCCTTAACCCAGTGGTTCTCAATGGTGTGTGTGCTGGTGGGGGCAATCTAGGGGTTAGAGGACAAGGATGTTGCCAAATCTCCTACAAGCACAGAATAGCCCTTCCCACTTAAGAGAGAATCATCCAGCCCTAAATGTTAATAGTACCAAGATTGAGAAACCTGTCTTAAGATAATGTGCATTGTTTTTATCTGGTTGCTCTCAAGATTATCTCTTTATAACTATAGTTTTCAGCATACTAACTATAATGTGCCTAGGTAAAAATTTCCTTTTATTTATCCTGCTATGCAGGAGGACCTCCGAGCCTGTTAGATCTGTAAGTTTTTTGAAGCAAATCTGGAAAATGTTTGACCATTATTTTTTCAAATAATGTGTGCCCCATTATCTTTCTCTTCTTCTCCCAGGACTCCATTTACATGCATTTTAGACTGCTTTATATTTTCCCTCAGGTCCCTGAGGATATGTTCCGCTGGGCTTTTAAAAATCTCTTTTCTTTGTGTTCTTCAGATTGAGTTGTCTTCATGTTAACCGAACCTTTTTTCCTGGCCTCTCCAATCTTCTGCTATGCCCATCCAGTGTATTTATTTCAGATACTATAGTTTTCAGTTCCAAAGTTGTTATTTTTTAGTTTATATCTCTTGGCAGAGATTCCATATCTGTTCATTATTACTTTATTTTCTTTTAAGTTCCTAAACATATTTATAATAGCTGTTTTGTGGTTATTGTCTACAAGACCAACATCTGGGTCACCTTGGGGTCAGTTTCTACTTTTTCTCTTAATTGTGAGTCACATTTTCTTGCTTCTTCAACTATCTAGTAATTTTGTTCTACTGGACATATTGATTACTATAATATATTGTAGAGGCTACAGATTCTATTATCTTCCTCTGATGAATGTTGATTTCTGTTCTAGAAGGAGTTAACTTTGCTGAACTCAAACTCCAAACTCTGTCTCCTCTGCACTGGAGAGGAGTTGAATCTCTTCTCAGTTCTTTTAGCCTTTCAGCTGTTTTCTACCAGGTCCCTTGGAGTTTCCCTCATACAAACACAGTTTAGGGGCCAGCCAACTGTATTCGGGTTAAGTTGACACACAGATTTTGAGGCTCCTTCTTATGCAACCCCCTCTTTTCCACAATTTCCCCCTTCACTTAACATCCTTGCTAATGGTCCTGAACTCTGTCATCTGACTCCTTAAGCTGGTGAGACTGCAGCTTTCTCCATCTAGGGAGTAGTATCAGGCAAAAAGCTATAGAAACACAAATATCATACAGTGATGTTATCCTGTTTTAAGGAATAATTCTCGCATTTCCGCCTGCTTTTGGTCATTCATTCTCTAGTGCTTTCAAGTAGTTGGTTTTCATTTATATTTAGTCCAGTTCTAATAATGGTTATCTGTAGGGAAATAGTATGATACAAGCAACATCATCAATACTGGAAATGCCAATTAGGTTTTTAAATCTGATAGTTTTATTGAAGATAAAGATTATTTTGTCCCTCTATGCCTTGACATATTCATCTCTCCTAATTCATAAGCAGAGCAGCCCACACAGTTTCTCTCAGATATTACTTCGAAGCCTGAAGAAACTTCTCAATGGTATAAATAATGTGGCCTTTGGAATCAAGAAATCACTTACCAACTGTATGAACTTGGAGAGATTATTTACCCCTTCATGCTTCTCCACTTGTATCATGAAGGCGGTCATTTAAATCTCACAAGGTTGTTAGAAATAGTAATCACTTACGTCACAAAGCATATAGCAAGTGTTAAAAAGAAAACAAACACTTTTGGTTCCTTTCCCTTAGACTTCTTCCTTCATCCCAGCAGTGGTAATAGTGGAAGGAATTCCTAATACACGACTACCTTTTTCTATAATAGTTACTTTAGTTCCATTAGTTAAATTCCATTTACTTTAATGTTCCATTAGTAACATTTAATTAAGTTTATAAGGAAGAAAGAACATGAGAGACAGAACAAATCCCATTTTATGAACAAGCGTGCGCAAGAAGCAGGGACTGTCAAAGGAGACACTGAACAGTGCACGGAGGATTCATTCCCCCACCATATCTCTGGGCAAGCAAGTGTGGAGGCAGGAAGACATACAGCAATGAAAAAGGCATCATTATTCCAGAATTTCTCCATGTGTGAATGAGAAAGTCTTTCTATGTATATAAGTATATAATAAATCATAGTAATCTAACAAGCAAAACTGCTAAGAAAAAGGCAAATTTAAAAAGAAATAAAAGAAAAGGTAAGTTCAAAAAATTTTTAAAGCTTAAATACGTATTTAATGAATTTTTAAAAAATTTATTGTGCTTCTGTTTATAAAAAGTTTGTTTCTTGAAAAGAAACAAATTGGAATTGTACAGGACTATATCTTATAAATTTTCCAATTAATGTCTTTATCTAAGTCATTACTTCAAATGTTATCTAATAAAGGACTGAAGATGAGTCTTATGAATCAATGTAAGAGAATGCTTTCAGATTGCAGCAATTTGTGATCACTGTTCTCTAAATACAGATATACTGTCACCTAATTACATCATCTACCCAACCCATATTTTCCCATCTTGTCCCAGGTATATAAGATATGTCATATGTTTCACTAATATCCTGCTGCACCATTTTTACAGAACTTGGGTTATTTCTAGTACTCTATTAAAAAGGCATAATCAGGCGTCAATTGTTCTAAGTGGTTTTCTTTTCTAAGTTTATTAGAGACAGGTCAGGCAAACACAGAGCTGCTCCAAGGAAATCCAAGTGGAGACAAGGCTCCAACGAACAGGATAGAGCTGAGAAGAAGCTGGCTGTTCTAGGACAGTAAGAGTCAGAACTGATAATTATAAGACTCTTATGATTCCATAATCACACAGGGCTAACATGATATATACTCAGCGTACACCGCTAAGAGTAAGCTGAAGAAGGGCCAAAGCAAAACTGACATATTTAAGTAATGACACAGGATATCTTATGAACATAATACTTTTATGTTATTGATTGACTGGCTTAGAAGTTAGCACAATAGTGTCTGTAAATATGATCATCTTTCTACATCTACAAACAGTGGAGAAGAACAGAGGCATTCCCTTGGGTTTCTCAGGTCTATACTAGTGCAAACCAAAGATTAGCAGCATTTTTCTATAAAGAACCAGATAGTAAATATTTAATCTTGCAGGCCACATAGTCTCTGTTGTCATCACTCAACTCTTTTATTATAGCATGTCAGTACCATAGACAATATGTTAATGAATGGACATGGCTGTGTTACAATACAAATTTATTTACAAAACCAGGTGGTGGGCTAGATTTGGTCTATGGGCTGTAATTTGCCAACCACTAGGTAAACAATGAGAGGTAAATATCTAGTGCAAAATGATACTAAATAATGTCTTGAACACATTCCCAAATTTCAAATGATGAGTAAGAAATACATAGATCAGTGCAATTTGATTTTCCTGTGTTAATAATATAGGAACCACAATTTCATATTCAGTGAACTCAATATATAGTTGAACCAATTTTTCTGTGTATCATCAGAACCTGGGAATTATTTACCTGTGCGTAATCACCAAAAGGTGGAGAATAAGCAATGCACTTTTCCAATGTGTGTTGTGATTCATTTCCCTGAGAGATTGCATCCAGAATGCTGCTTGCAATTCCAGTCTTATGAAGAGTGGTTTTACTTGCAGGGGCTAAAGGCAGAATCAACAAGTTTATTTTATTTAGGTTATTTTATTATACATTTATTTTATTTAGGTTATTTTAAACAAATTATTTTATTATAAATTGTTTTACAAATTATAAATTATATTATACACATAAATTATATTTTATTATAAATTATAAATTATAACCGCATATTATCAAATAGAACAAAATTTTAATTTGCCAACATATAACTAGATATATTTTCCCCCGGGAAAACACAGTATATAATACTGTCTCATTCATTTGAAACAACTTAAAATGGACACCTGTCCCATGGGTAAATAATTTTGGTGGAAAGGTTAAAAAACATGTATGTCTGGCCGGGCATAGTGGCTCATGCCTGTAATTCCAGCACTTTGAGAGGCTAAAGTGGGAGGACTGCCTGAGCCCAGGAGTTCGAGACTGGCTTGGGTGACATGGTGAAACCCCGTCTCTACAAAAAAATACTAAAAATATAAAAATTTGCCAGGAATGAATGGTGGTGCATGACAGTAATACCAGCTACTTGGGAGGCTGAGACTTAAGAATTGCTTGAACCCAGGAAGTGGAGGTTGCAAGGAGCCGAGATGGTGCCATTGCACTCCAGCCTGGGTGACAGAGCAAGACTCTGTCTCACAGAAAAAAACCCAAAAAAACACACAAAAAAACCCCAAAAAATTAGCTGGGCATGGTGGCACATGCCTGTAGTCCCAGCTACTCGGGAGGCTGAGGTAGGAGGATCACTTGAGCCCAGGAGGTGGAGGCTGCAGTAAGCCAAGATCACACCACAGCACTCCAGCCTGGGCGACAGAGACCTTGTCTCAAAAAAACAAAACGTGTGTGTGTGTGTGTGTGTGTGAGTGTGTGTGCGTGTGTGTCTAGTCTGTAAAACAAGGTATAAAAAATGTAAACCGTTCTTATAAATGTAATAATTGTCACCATCAATTTTCAGACCAGATCAATATGTAACAGTTATACTAGAAGTGCACTTAACATTTTTTTCCAGCTCAAAAAAAATTACAAATTAATGTTTGGGTTCAAGGATATTTCATAAAATACAGAGGATATATATTAAAAATGAAATTCATCTTTCATCTCTTTTTATTTAATCCTATTATTCTTCCCAGAGGTAATAGTTTAGAATTTACTTTTTTAGTTTTATTTCATGCATTTGCACACTCAAGTATATACATGTAAGGATTTATAACTTTAAATAAACACAAATGGAATAATTTTATGCATATATTTGCCAAAATATGCTTTAGAGTTCATCTCATATCAGTACACATAAATATCCCTCAATTATAAAAAAAAAGTTGCACAGTATTCAATTATATGATGAACTATTTTAGCATTCCCCTATTGACAAATATTAAGTATTTTCCAGTTTTCCCACTATTTACAACCAATGATGCAGTGAACATCCTTGTGCCTGGAGCATATCACATTTGTGATTTTCTCTTAAAATGACATTTGAATGAATAGCTGATTTATAGTAATTGAAGGCTTGAGGGGTTCCTCCAAAAAGTGAATGAGAATTCCACTTCTACCAATTATTGGTAGCTCATACATTTTGGGAGTATTCAAACACTCAAGATATATAAGATTACTTATAGGTTTAAACTTCTGGTTAAGAAAAATGATTCTCTATGAGTTGTAATGTTTTCCTTAAATAAAATAGCACACATTTTGAGTGTCTTAGTTTTAATTACTATTTTAATTTAAAGAATAATTTAGGCCTATAATTTGGCCAATAGGTATTATTTGCTTCCATTAAGTCAAAAATTAAAGTAAAACTTATTATGTAAAGTATTCAATAAAACTCCACAACAAGAATACTGAGCCCCTACTTACATGATAAGCACACACTAGGTAACACACTTGCCAAATTCAAGTATGGATTTTTACTGAGCCGAATTTCTTTTGGTGGTTCTCCCAAGAGTGAAGTCTGATTCTTAGAGGCAGCCTATTTAACAAAAACAAAGGAGGGGGTACTTAATGAGAAGAACATGAAAATAAAAATGAAGAACACAGAAATACTTATTTTTCAATACATCTAGTGTACTTATGAAATATCTATGGATGTTGACTAAAACTATCACATTTCACCTGCTATTAGTTGTTCAATTAGGTTTTTAAAAAAACTATTCTAGAGCCATAGAACTTTAGAACTAAAAGAGAATGAAAGGATATCTTGTACAATCTTCTCACTTGAACCAGGAAAGAATTCATCTTCACAAGAAAAACTAAATTCCATATCTCTTTTCCAGAAATACTGTTTATCTATTTATCTACCTTTTTTTTTTTTTTTTTTTTTTTGAGATGGAATCTCACTCTATTGCCCAGGTTGGAGTGCGATGGTGCAATCTCAGCTCATGGAAACCTCCACCTCCCGGGTTCAAGCGATTCTCCTGCTTCTGCTTCCTGAGTAGCTGGGATTACAGAGCCGCACCACCACACCTGGCTAATTTTTTAATATTTTTTGTAGAGATGGGGTTTCACCATGTTGGCCAGGCTGGTCTCGAACTCCTGACCTTAGTGATGCCCCCAGTTTGGCCTCCCAAAGTGCTGGGATGACAGGCGTGACCCACTGCGCCTGGCCTGTTATCAATATTTTTATTGAGAGTTTTATTTTATATTTTATGACCAAATAACAAAAGCAAAGCTTATTTACCTCTGGTACTAAATATAATGTCAAACAAAATAAATGAGTTTAATAAACTCCAACTCCACATTTAGATGGTGCTAGAAACACACATTTCTTCAAAATGTACATCAGTATATTTTAATGTAATTAGTTAGGTGTAAGGATTCTAGTACAGTTGACCCTTGAAACAACATGGGGGTTAGTAGTGCCAACCCCCTACATAGTGGAAAAATCTATGTATAACCCTTGACTACCCAAAAACTTAACTACTAATAGCCTACTGTTAACTAGAAGCCTTACCAATAGCAAACAATTAACATGTATTTTGCATGTTACATATGTTATACACTGTTTTTTTTACATTAAAGGTGGAGAAAAGAAAATATTAAGAAAACCATAAGAGAAAAACATTTACAGTACTGTAATATTTATCAATACCATAAATTATGTCATTTGTTTACAATATGGATCTGTCTGAAATGGTGGACAACAGCAGCTACAGACCTCAATCTGTGGTATTCATCAAGCAATTCGACTTTTTCTTATAATGTCATGACACTGCTTCTTGAGAGCCCTTCTAGTACCACTAGTGGCATTTTTATGGATCATAGGTGTTATTCAAGGTTTATGGTATTGCACTAATCATGATGAAAAATATGCAAGCATGATGAGACATCACTTTTTACTGCAATAAGCAATTTACTGGAGAGATGAATGGCTCACATGGAGATGATTAGCAACACACAGCATTTTAAGTGGATACTCTCAACACTTGAGCTCATCTCAATAGCAACAGGAAGTAGGTACAAAATTATCACAGTAGTACAGTATATACTACAGTTAATTTTATGCAGTTATGATTTAATACTGCATCTTTATTTTGGTTTACATTTCTTTTGACTGAATGGTGCCATGTACTGTCTGTAAGTATGTATGTCATGTATGCTAAATTTTAACTTTTTAATAATAGGTTTGAGTATATATTATGGTAGCAAATTACAAACTAGACTAATATCTACATATATTTTATGCATTCATGACATATATAACTTTTTCTTAATTTTTCAATATTTCTAGGCTATGGGGTTCATTTGTGAGTTTTTTCAAACTTTTTAAATTTCCAAAAAATTTCCCACTATATTTCTTGGAAAATATCCAAGTATAAGTGGACCTGTGCAGTTAAAACCTGTGTTTTCTAGGGTCAACTGTATATAGAAAACTCCCAAAAACTCAACAATGACAATAAAAACGAACCTGATTTAAAATGGGCAAAAACTTTAATAGACATTTCTCCAAAGAAAATATACAGATGACTAATAAACACACACAAAAATGCTCAGCATCACTAATCATTAGGGAAATGCAAATCAAAACCACAATGAGATACCACTTCACAACCACTGGGATGGCTACGACTATGAACTGAATGTTTAAGTCTCCCCAGAATTCATATGTTGAAATGCTAAGCCTCAATGTGATGGTCTTAGAAGGTGGGGCCTTTGGAAGGTAATGAGGTCATGAAAGTAGAGCCCTCAAGAGTGGGATTAGCGCTCCTATAAGAAGAGACATGAAAGGGCTTGCTCCAGCTCTCTAACATGTGAAAATGGAACGAAAAGATGGTCATCTGAAAACCAGGAACAGTATCCTCATCAACACTGGATTTGCTGGCACCTTCTCTTAGAACTCCCAGCCTCTCAAACTGTGAGAAATAAATGTATGTTATTTAAATCACCCAGTCTATGGTATTTTTGTTACAAACAGCTAAAACAGAAAACAAGTGTTGGTGAGCATGTTGGAAAATTAGAATCCCTGTGCACTGCTGGCAGGAATGTAAAATGGTGCAGCTGCTGTGGAAAAACGGATGACAGTTCCAACAAAAATTAAACATGCATTATGGTATGATCCGGTAATTCCATTTCTGGGTATATACCCCAAAGAATCGAAAGCAGGGACTCAGATACCAATGTTCACAGCAGCATTATTCACAATAAAAGGTAGAAACAACCCACATGTCCATGGATGGCTGAATTAAAACATGGTATATATGTACAATGGAATATTATTCAGCCTTAGGAAAGAAGGAAATTTGGATACATGCTACAACATGGATGAACCTAGAAAACATTATGCTAAGTGAACTAAGCTACACACAGGAGGACAAATATTGTGTCACCTAGGTACCTAGAATAGTCAAATTCATAAAGACAAAAGTAGAAACAGTGGTTACCCAGGCTAGTGGGAGGGAAAAAGGGAGAGTTATTATTTAACAGGTGCAGGTTTCAGTATGAGATGACAAAAAAGTTTTGGAGATGGAGAGCAATGATGCTGCACAACACTGTAAATGTACTTAAAGCCACAGTACTCTACACTTAAAATGGTAAATTTTATGTTACGTATATTTTAATTTTACCCCAATAAACAGAAACTGGATATTATCCCTGTCTCCCTGAATAAAATTCTCAAAGGTTGGGAGTTAGAGTCCAAATCTCTCGCTCTCTTTTTTTTTTTTTCTTTTTTTTTTTGCACTAGAGGTGATTCTGGAAACAAAAAGGTAGACTCAAGACTTACTGGCCAACACAATATTAAAGATGCAGTTCTAAACATCTAAAGCAAAGTTAAGCTAATTATTTCAGCCAAGTCTACAAATCTCACAGTTAGAAAACACTGAGGTTACCTGGTCCAACCCCTACTGAGAGGAAGAGGGATCATTTATATTAACATGACATCCTATACAGATGCTCACCTGGGGTCTGCTTAATTGCTTTTGGTGATATGACAGTCACATCTTTGTGAAATAAACTTTCTCTCTGCTTAAAAGCTTGACTCGTTCTTCCTTATATTAAGCCTAAATCTGCTTTATTGTATGTTGTACTTAATAGGTAGTTCTGCCCACTGGAGGTACACATAATACCATATGACTACTCTTTAAATAGGTTTAACAATGTATATGTTTGGTTGTCTCTTTCCAGGTTCCATATATCCACTTCTCCTGAATTCTTCTTCACAGGACTTATTTTCCAGAACCTGCCCCTATTTTGGCTGTCTTCTTGTAGACATACTCATTTGCCCATTTTGTGAATCACCTAAAATCCACAGTTCTTCTAAAGACTCTGATGCTTGCAGTGAACTAAAGATTGCAAAGAGATATGAAGTATTCATATACAAGTTTTATTTGTGCAGTTTCCCTCAATGACCCAAGCAATGAACACTGCAGATAAATTTTTAAAATTTATTCTATAAAGAACTGACGGCCAGGCGCAATGGCTCACACCTGTAATAGCAGCACTTTGGGAGGCCAAGGTGGGAAGATCACCTGAGCTCAGGAGTTCAAGACCAGTCTGGCCAACATGGTGAAACCCCATCTCTACTAAAAATACAAAAATCTGTCAGGAATGGTGGTGCGTGCATGTAGTCCCAGCTACTTGGGAGGCTGGGGCAGGCGAACCGTTGAACCCAGGAGGTGGAGGTTGCAGTGAGCCAAGGTCACGTCGCTGCACTCCAGCCTGGGAGACACAGCGAGACTCCGTCTCAAAAAAAAAAAAAAAAAAAAAAAAAAAAGTAAAAGATAAAAAAATTTTTAAAAGAGAGAACTGCCTTAGCTTTCTCAATGTACAATTGTAGGGCATTCTAGTCATACTTCTTGCTATGGCTAGGTAACACTAAAATCTCTTACAAATTCAGTATTATTATTTTGACATTTGAATACAAGAAACTACACAGATTTTTTTCCTTACAAACTGCTTAAGCCTAAGTTTTATACCACTTACAAACCACAGTGTATTTTGGGGTACAAATATAATAAAAATTAGATGTACTTTAGTCTACCTACTTATTACAACATTTATAAATATCAGTGGTATATTAACCAATAAAATGATTGGGTAAACACTTCCAGAATTAAAAGAAAGACCAGATTAGTTTGAACAGACCAGAGTTTAATAGCTGGTTTTGATATTTTCCAGATAAAATTTGTTCTGCCTTTAAATATTAAAATACTTTAGCTACTAACTACATATTTAAGATACACAAAAAGTATATTTTAAAGAACAGCATTAACACGTACTTAGCCTTACAAATAACATTACTATGTAAGTGAATAAGTATTGATACTCCTAAGCTTTTTCAAACTACAAAATTCTGAACTTAAATTACTTTATATCTTATATTTAAAATATCAAGTATTTCTGAAAACCATGTATGTCACAAACTTTTTGGAAATTCCTTATTCTAAGGAATAAATAATCCACATATAAATTATTTATAAGAGACATAACTCATTTTACACAAATTAAAATTACTTTACTTACAAACTGGCAAATAATTAAGGTAGTCCCAAATGCCAGTTAGCATAACTTATCAGAAAATGGATTTTTTGTTTGCTTATTTTTAATAACATATTTTTTTTTTAAATTGCAAACATTTTGCAATGTTTTCTTCAATTTTGAGAAGTAAATGTAAACTATGAGAAAGTCATCATTTCATTGACATGACAATTTAAGATACAATTTAAATGGAATATATATACATATGTAGGTATATACACATCTGTGTGCACGCAAAGTTTTCTTACCCCTGAACTTATCTCTGTGCCTTTTGGCTGGCTTTGCTGCTGCTTATGGTGTCCCGCCAGCAAGCTTCCAGCAGCAAGGTTTGGAAAGCTCTGAAGATAAGGCTGCGACCCTGAGAAATTTCCTTCTGCCATTCCCACCGTGGCTGGCTGTTTCTCCTGAGTATTACTGTGCCCTGGCCCAGCATGTCCAGCAATGTGCTGATTTGGAAAGAATGGTAACATGCCCATTCCAGCTGTTATCGTTGTTTGGGTTGGAATCAGGCTAGATGCTGTAGCAAATCACAAATGCAAAAAGCTTTTAGTTAGAAAATATTTATTCGCAATAGTCCTTTTGATTTTGTTAAGTTATGAGCAAAATGCAGAGAAACCAATTTGTACCTGTTAGATAACAGCAAAAGGTAAGGTTAGAGGTTGTTAATTAGTGGGCTCCTTTATGAAAAAACAAAAATCTACAATAGTAATAATGCTCTTATTTTCAGCAACTTTCAGGGTAACCTCAAATATATGAAATTTTTAAGTTTTTAAATTCTATATATAATTGTTAATTGGCATTTAAGCTATATTAGTGCTTTTTTTAATGCCCATTCATTGCAGCTTCACTGTTTCCATAACTGATGGAAATAATTAAGTTTTAAGTTTAAAAAGTTATCTGAAAGTAAAATTTAATGAAGTTTGACTGAATCCAATAATAAATTTGGTTAGCTGGCTTCCATCAGCTCATGAGAGCTATTAATACACACCCCTTCCCAGCTATTGAGTTAAATGTCTTCATATCGGTAACCTGAAATCAGTCACAGTTGGAGTATTCACAAACAGAAATGCACAAATGCTACAAATCAAGACGTTTTTTCAACCTAGAGAGCTTGTTGTTAAACACTTATCAGTATATCACTGGCTTCTTTCTTTAAATGAGTATTTGTTAACAGATAAGCACTAAATTTAATACATGAAAGTTTTATGTTTTTATTTATAGAAAATAACAAGAAATTCTGGGAGAAATAAAAACAGTTTTTTTGTTTTTTGAGTCAGGGTCCCACTCCCATCGCCAATCATGGCTCACTGCAGCCTCGACTTCCTCGGCTAAGGTGATTCTCCCACCTCAGCCTCCTGAGTAGCTGGGACCACAGGCGTGTGCAACCATGCCTGGTTAATTTTTTGTATTTTAGTAGAGTCAGGGTTTTGTCATGTTGCCCAGGCTGGCAACATTCCTATTAAAAGTTTTAATAGGAAAATTCTGAACCGTTCCACCTTTTAAAAAATCTATAGGTCAAAATTAAATGGAAAAAGCTAATTTTGACAACTAAGACTTACCATTTTATAAATTTACTAAACAAATTTCTTCAATTATTTTCAGTAATAATCATTTAGAGATGGATGCTTTGGTTCCCCCCCTAATGCTTAGAATATAGTTATCTGGACACTATTCAATGTTCTTAAAGCAGCATATACTAAAGTAAATAGTTTATTAGTTAATTCAACACAAATAATACACATTTACATAAGCTTTTAGACATAGAAAATTTAATTTTTTGGAAAGACAGACCCCATGATATCACAAAATTTCTTCACTGGCTTAACTTTTGTCCAGTCAATTTCAACAGTCAGAACTAAGTTATTTGATCACTGGACAAAAGGTTAAGTAAGCTACCCATATTTAATTGACTTTTTAAAAAAATTATTGGTGGACCTTCTGTTTTTACTCAGCATGCTCACTTCTAAGCAAATTTCAATTAAGCTTCAAGCTGAAAATGCGCCCTTCAAAATCACATTCAAATAAGAAGTCTTAGTATAACACCATGCTCCTGTTTTCCTGCCAAAAAAGCTATTTTGTTTGCCATGTTTTTAGAAGCACATAGTACACACATTAGTTTTCTTTGACTACTGATTTAGAGGTTCAATTTTTTTTAATAATACAAATAAATAATCAAACTTTAAATATATAAATACTAGATTTTTAAAAATAAAAGTGAAAGGTTTCTTATCCCAAATGGATCCATATGTGCTGTCAGCCCAGTGGGCAGCATGTCAGTCTCAAAGGGATCTGTGTCTTTGCCTTGCACTGCTGTGAACCTGCATAAAATATTAAAGCATATCCAACAGGGAAAGTCTTATCTTGGCATGGAAGCAAGTCCATCAGTAACTTACCAATATTCAAAATAGAAAAAGCCAAGAGGGTTCTCAAAATTTTAAATGACTAAATAAAACTCAAATTTGACCTCCCTGTAAATAAAAGGAGAACATAAGTAAACTATCTTTAAATCTCAAACCTGACTGTTTACTGACTTCTCAGTAAATACACATCATTTACTTTTATGTGCTTCTCCATGATGATGTCCCAGCTCCTTTTTCAATGGAAGCACTGACCCTATCCCTAGTGCAGTCTGAAATACCACAGCCGGGGGCTCTCCAAGTAAGCCGGGTTTCTACAAAAGAAGAAAAAAAGGTAAGACCCATGGCCATAAGATATAACCTAAAAAAAGTTACACATGTGAAAATTCATAAACAACCTGATCCACAACCTGATTCTAGAAAAGAAATGAACTGATTCTAAAAGAAAAAATGATATCATACTTACATTATTAGTATGAATATTCTCAAACTTCATTAATTGTTGTTGTGCCAGTGGTATATGAGAAAGATTCTGAAGGAATAAATTAGAAGTATTACCCATAACTGAGCTCTGTGAAAATGACAAAACGTTGTTAGTTTAATTTTGAAAAGCTACATGTTGTATAACCCGATTCATTTTAAAGTTCAATTCTCCAGTCAATCTGAGTAAAAGTAATTGCTTCTAAACATAATATTTCACTTTCCAACTTAACAGGCAAAGTTAGTTAATTCTTTTAATAATATACAAGGGGGGCCATGCAGTCATGAAATTAATTCTACATTCTTTCATCCTTCCTTCCCTCCTCTCACCCCTTTTTGGTTTCAATGATAGTGACATTCTATTCATTCATTTATTTATTCATTTAATCATTCAACAAAGATTTATTGAGCACTTTCTATGTGCCAGGCACTGTGCTACTTAGTGAGAAGTACAATAAGATCTGCCCTCATAGATCTTACAGTCCCCTAAGGAAGGGAGCCATTAATTAATAATAATTAAAAAACCCCACATGATTACACATGATAATCATATGAAGGAAAAATGCAAGGGGCTATGAGAACAAATAGTGGAGGAATGTTATTTAGCCTGGACGATTCAAGGAAGGTTTCTTGGAGGAACTAATTCTTGTACTGCAATCGGAAGGCTGTAGTTGAAGTCTGGGAGGGAATTAGGTGATGTTGGGGTGGGAAGCATTCGCATTCCAGGAAGAAGGACCAGCAGAAGAAAAGACCGAAGGAGGAGAAAACAAAGTCCTTTGAGGACCAAAACCAGGCTGTTGTAGTGGGACAGTGATGTGTAGTGAGCTGAGAGGCAGGAGGAGCTAGCTCAAATGTATGGGCCTTAAAGGTAAAGCATTTTGGTCTTTCTCTTAAAATACAGGGAATATTATCAATACTCTGAACTTCCCCTCTCATATTACTCTTCACTCCTTATTGTAATTAACTGTTTAATGTGTTGTCCCTACTGGTTGAAATTCTATAATAACATAGACTTTAAATGTTACATTCCACACAGTAGCCTCAATGATTAGCACAATGTCTAATACATATATGTCAGATACTCAATAAAATACATTGAGTAAATGAATGAATAAAAACTCTATAATGTATCACCAAGTCCTGTGTTAGATTCTAAGGATGAAAAATAAAAGCCGGATTTAGGACCAGATATTCATTCATTCAACTTATATTAAGCATCTATTATATATTGTTTGATTTTAATTAGAATTCTATATTCTTAAACAGTACCTGAAATTAATGAGTAATGCTTATCTCTAATATTACAGACATTTAAATCTATAAACACACATTTAAAATATTTATCTAAAAAAAGTAGGAAACATATACTCTATTCTCATATACATGAGTTGTTTTTTATAATATTCATTAAATTTTAGGAATTAAGAGTTACTGTTCATTGATATTTTCTTTCTAGAAATATTTTTTTGAGTTAAGACCACATAAGAAGCCCTGTTTTGAACAAATGATTTATTATCTCGAAAAAATATACCTCTTTCCTTCTTAATGCCATACAAATTGGAATCAATAATATTTATTGTGGTATATAACTACTGCTTTGGTTAGCTTAATTGAATCTGATGTACTCGTTAAGTTATAATTTTACATAGCTATACTTATTAAAGATTTTCTTTAAAAGCAAAATACTCATTTAATTTCTTGAGAACTTTAAGTGTTAAGAACAAACAAGATATTCACTCCAAATATTTAAAGCTTCAGTACTTAATGTTATTTATGTACCTGATGTGCTTTATTCAAATGTAAAAATGCAGGAGAGATGGATGGATTCATCAGATGTGGCAAGCTGTGAGGTGTCCCAAGAACGGCTTTGAGAAAATAAAAGTAAAAACTTTAATATATATATGGAATTAAAAATTTAAAAAAACCAAGCTTCGAAAAGGGTTAATGAATATTTCTTTAAACTATTAACAAATCCACTGAAAGTTCAATGACATAGTGACTTTGTCACTGGTCAAAAGTGACAGGCACCTTTCCCTGAGATTCAACCCTGGAATTTGTTTTAAAATTCAAAAGCCTTCTGCCATAATCGTAAAACTCCAAATCTAGGCTTAATCTTCTCTAGAATTTAGTGCAACAAAACATATCCACCTTTTAATAAGCACAATACTCATTTGAACCCATGTTATTTATTCAGTGGTTTTTTAGGTATTTCAGGCATTTTGGCAGAGGGTAGGAGTAGGGGACAAGATACAATCCTTGTCCTTGAAAAGCTTATATAAAATCCAATTGAGAAGACAATATATGTACACACAAATATTTACATAAAAAAATCAAAAGAAACTGCAAACTTGTACACAGACATAAAAAGAATAAATGGGAACAATACTCATAATCAAGTCTAAGAGTCTAAATACCAGAGTACGCTTCAAAAGGGATGTTTTTAGAACAGAACACTTACAAAAGGGAGGCAGGGATGTGTCACAGATGTTTGAACCAGAGTGCCTCCATCTTGAATAGAAGTCAGGTAAAGTAAGGCTGAGACCTGCTGAGCTGCATTCCCAGTAAGTTAGGCATTCTAAGTTACAAGATGAGACAGGAGGTCGGCACAAGATACAGGTTACAAAGCCCTTGCTAATAAAACAGGGTGCAATAAAGAAGCCGGCTAAAACCTACCAAAACCAAGATGGCGACAAGAGTGACCTCTGGCCGTCCTCATTGCTACACTCCCACCAGCAACATGACAGTTTACAAATGCCATGGCGGCGTGTGAAATTTACCCTATATAGTCTAAAAAGGGGAGGAATCCTCCGTTCTGAGAATTGCCCACCATTTTCCTGGAAAACTCATGAATAATCCATCTCTTGCTTAGCATATAATCAAGATGATCAAGAAATAACCATAAAAATGGGCAAACAGGGCCGGGCGCGGTGGCTCAAGCCTGTAATCCCAGCACTTTGGGAGGCCGAGACGGGCGGATCACGAGTTCAGGAGATCGAGACCATCCTGGCTAAGACGGTGAAACCCCGTCTCTACTAAAATACAAAAAAAATTAGCCGGGCGAGGTGGCGTGCGCCTGTACTCCCAGCTACTCGGGAGGCTGAGGCAGGAGAATGGTGTGAACCCGGGAGGCGGGGCTTGCAGTGAGCTGAGATCCGGCCATTGCACTCCAGCCTGGGCAACAGCTAGACTCCGTCTCAAAAAAAAAAAAAAAAAGAAAAAAATGGGCAACCAGTGGTCCATGCCTGTATGTCCAGGCTGCTATATGGAGCAGCCATTCTGTCTGTCTGTCTGTTTGTTTGTTTGTTTGTTTTTGATAGAGAGTCACACTCTATTTCCCAGGCTGGAGTGCAATGGCACGATCTCTGCTCACTGCAACCTCCGGCCTCCTGGGTTCAAGCAATTCTCCTGCCTCAGCCTCCCAAGTAGCTGGGATTACAGGCACTCACCACCATGCTCAGCTAACTTTTTTTTTTTTAAAGTACAATTTCCATTTTATTTTTCTCCAGAGAATAGTCTATCTCAGTCTTTAAGGACTCAGCTCCTTACATGGGCTTTGGTGGGGGATGTGAGCCAGCACCCGCAGGTCTAAATTGGGGTGGGGGTGTTCGGTCTTTGCGGGCTTCACGAGATCGATTCCTGACTACTTTGCTGTGAATTGCACAACTCACACAGGAATGTAGCTTCACTACAGCTTGGGAAGCACATAGGCATCGAAGATGCTCGCTTCAGAAATGTCCCTGACTGCTGCGGCCTCCACTATGTTTTGAATGACGAATTTCTTAATGGCCTTGTCCTTGGGCAAGCATCAGGCACAGTTAGTGCAGTGAATAGGCTGCACGTGGCCACAGCCCTTTTTGGCACGACCATTGTTCCTTCTTTTCTTTGTCATCTTGGAAGCACGGACCGAAGAGAGCTAATTTTTGTATTTTACCAGAGACGAGGTTTCACCATGTTGGCCAGGCTGGTTTTGAACTCCTGACCTTGAGATCCACCCACCTTGGCCTCCCAAAGGGCTGGGATTACAGGCGTGAGCCACTGCGCCCGGCCTGGAGAAGCCATTCTTTATTCCTTTTCTTTCTTAATAAACTTGCTCTCACTTTAAAAAAAAAAAGCGGGGGAGGATGTTTTTAGAATAGATAGAGACACAAAAAGGACCATGAGATAGAAAATATATGAAGAAATTTAATCTAACTATTGTAAAATAACTGGAATAATCATAATATACAAAATTAGGCTGGGCACAGTGGCTCACACCTGTAATCTCAGCACTTTGGAAGGCCAAGGTGGGAGGATCATTTGAGGTCAGGAGTTCGAGACCAGCCTGGTCAACATGGTGAAACTCCGTCTCTATCAAAAATACAAAAATTAGCCAGGCATGGTGGCACATGCCTGTAATCCCAGCTACTTGGGAGGCAAAGGCAGGAGAACTGCTTGAGGCTGGGAGGCGGAGGTTGCAGTGAGCTGAGATCACGCCACTACACTCCAGCCTGGCTGACAGAGTGAGACTCCATTTCAAAATAATAATACATAAAATTATATATATATATAATATACAAACAGTGTACTAGTGATATACACTAGTAATATATATGTAGTAAAATAAAAAAAACACTGTACTATGACAGGTGAAATAAATAAATGAATGAAATAAATCCTCATTCTAACCAAATTTTTTAGTATCCATCTAAGTCTACATTGGGACTGCCTCAGAAGACAAGAATGATATAACTTCTTGGTTTTCAGGAGTAGAATGATACCAGTGAGACAGCCATAGGAAACTATTTAATTCAACAGTTTTCAATATTCTCTCTAGCAAAGGAGGAAGTGCCCAGAGTATGCAGGATTGGAGGGAATGTTTCATTCCAGCATAATTTCAGGAAAGTTATAATAATGTGAGGATACGTGGAAGAGGACTCATTTAGAATTCTATTATCTACTTCAATGAGAAAAAGGCATTTCTGAGTGGAAAACTGGTACACAGAAAATAACTCTTCTGCAAGTGATAGGGAATTAAGTGTGGAGAATTAGAGAAAATATTACTAGACTTAGACAAATAACTTCCGTATAGCCCCTTCAAATAAATTATGCTGGGAAAATAGAATATTCATATGCAAAAGAATGAAACTAGACCCTTACCTCTCACCATATATAAAAACCAACTCAAAATGTATTAAACACTTAAATGCAAGGCTAAAAATTGTACAACTACTGGAAGAAAACATGGGGGAGACACTTGAGGACATTGATCTGGGCAAAGATGTTACGGGTCACACTTTACAAGCACAGGCAACAAAATCAAAAATAGACAAATGGGATTTTATCAAACTAAACAGCTTCTACACAATGAGGTAAACAATCAATAAGGTGAACACGTATAACTTGTAGAATGGGAGAAAATATTTGCAAATTATTCATGTGACATAGGACTAATATCTAGAATATACACAGAACTCTAGCAATTCACAGCAAAAATAAAAATAAAAATAAAACCACCCCCATTAATCCAATTTAAAAATGGGCAAAGGATCTGAACAGATATTTCTCAGAAGCCATATAAATGACCAACAAGTATATGAAAAAATGTTCAACATCTGTATCATCAGTGAAATGTAAGTCAAAACCACAGTAAGATATCATCTCACCCCAATTAGAATGGCTAATTCTAACTATCAAAAAGACAAACAAATAATAAATGCTGGTGAGGATGCGGAAAAAAGGGAACTCTCTTACACTGCTGGAGGGAATGCCAATTAGTACAGCCATTATGGAAAACAGTATGATGGTTTCTCAAAAAAACAAATACAGAACTACCATATGGATCCAGCAATCCACTAACGAATATTTATCCAAAGAAAAGGAAATCATGGCCAGGTGCAGTGGCTCACACCTGTAATCCCAGCACTTTGGGAGGCTGAGGTGAGTTGATCACTGAAGGTCAGGAGTTCGAGACCAGCCTGGCCAACATGGCGAAACCCTGTCTCTATTAAAAAACACAAAAATAGCAGGGTGCAGTGGTGCACGCCCGTAATCCTAGCTACTTGAGAAGCTGAGGCATGAAAATCGCTTGAACCCAGGAGGCAGAGATTGCAGTGAGCTGAGATCATGCCACTGCACTCCAGCCTGAGCAACAGGGTGGGACTCTATCTCAAAAAACAAACAACAACAAACCAAAGAAAAGGAAATCTGTATCTTGAAGAGAGATCTGCATCCTGATGTTTATTGCAGCACTATTCACAGTAGCCAAGATATGGACTAAGTGTCCATCAACAGATGAATGGATAAAGAAAATGTAGTACATATACACAATGGAATACTATTCAGCCATAAGAAAAAAGGAAAGCTGGTCATTTGCAGCAACCTGGAGGACATTATATTAAGTGAAACAAGTCAGGCACATAAAGATAAATACTGCATGTTCTCCCTCATATACAGGAGCTAAAAAAGTTGAGTTCATAGAAGTTGAAGGTACAATCATGGTTATTAGAGTCTGGGAACAGAAGGCAAAAGGGGATGATAGGAACAGGTTGGTTAATGAATACAAAATTACAGCTAGATAGGACAATTAAGTTTTCATGTTCTATAGTACTGTAGGGTGACTAAGTTAACAAACATTTATTGTATATTTTCAAATAGCTAAAAGAGAGGACTTTAAATGCTCCCAACACAAGGATATGATGAATGTTTTAGGTGGTTAATATGCTAATTACCTTCATTTGATTATTATAGATTATATACACATATTGGGCTATCAGTCTGTACCCCATAAATATGTATAATTATTACATGTCAATTAAAAATTTTTTAACGACAAAAACTTGAGTGGAGGAGTTAATTTTTTTTTAATTCTGTAGTTGAAGTACAAAAA